AAGAATATGAATATATATACTATATACATTATAACAATATACTTATATATGTATATTGACATAAATAAAGACATATATATACGTATATTAATAAATACATAAATATTAATATGTGTGTTTTAGTATGTGTATGTATGTGTGTGTGTGTGTGTGTGTGTGTGTCTCTGTGTGTGTGAATGTCTGTGTGTGTCTGTGTCTGTATGTCGTTTTTTGTGTGTGTGCGCGCGTGCGTTTGTGTGTGTGCGTGCGTTTGTGTGTACGCGTGCATTTGTGTGTACGCGTGCGTTTGCGAAATAAATAAATGATGAAGCAAGAGATAACAGGATGTGGCTTCTAAGACATACCGTTGCCACCCATCTCTAAGCCTAATGAGCTGAGATTGGACCCAGCACTCATTGACTTCGAAATGGCCTTGGGTTTGCTGCCCTTTCTGGCCCCTGCACCGCCTTTGTTCGGCATCTTGGTGTTGAATATGCGCTCAACTCAAGTATGTATGTTTTTATAATTCTGGGGTCGTAAACTACGTCTACGATACACTTTATATGTATCCTAAACTTGCGTGTACGTGCTTGAAATTGTCAGACGTGCACGTAATCTACCCGTATGTGCTAATTTATATAAGTAGAACTTTCGGATCAACACGACTGTCTCTTCAGTATGTCTGGAAAGAAAGCGGTCGAAATCTGATCTAAGGTGAGGCTTCCTACTAATTGACCTCGAAGGTGCTCACCACACTGTATTCTGGTATACGAGCACCGGTCACCGATGCGAATATACGTGAGATTTCTATTGCTCACGAATCCAGTACTATAGTACCCATCCTGTAGATGTGTGTGTGTGTGTGTGTGTGTGTGTGTGCACGCGCATGTGTGTGTGTGTGACACGTGTACGCGTAATGGCTGTAATTGATGATACTGCAGCTAAAAAGATGTCTATACCTGAAATCGCGGGTGTTTTTCAATGTTCGATACCAATTGGTCTGTATAGAAATCTGAACAGCGTTTATGCTTCAACATATATAAGGTATATATTTACCGTAGAAACATCACCGTTGTGTATATTCGAATGTATAAGTCGGGTTATAATACTGCGGGTTGTTACAACCACAAATACATAAATACAAAAAGATCTGTTGATATGCAAAAACTACTGCAACTGAGCGGACATTATAAAATTGCCGCCTCGGCTTACAGCCCAAACTTCCAACTGGCTCTGTCCAGAGTGTCCGCACTCCGCAGTTGGACTCTCATCGACTCAGACTCTCTCAGTCATCAGTTTTTCCGTGTGTGACTAAATATATATATATATAGATAAATAAAAACACATAAAAACAATATATATATATATATATATATAAATATACATATTTTATATATGTATATATTTCACACACACACAAAAAAGCTGACAATGCGAAGAAGGGGGGGTAAATATATGTATTTTAGTCTATATATACTCTCAATCTATTTTTTTATATTCTTTTACATATGTATCCGAATGGGCAATTCCCCGCGAACAACCGACAAGGCAACGTCCTAATTTATAAATATAAATATTATGAAGTGTACAAATTACATAATAGTACCCGACTACCCGTCCTACTGACCAGCCTTCAGGCTTCAGGGCTCAGGGCGCCCGCCGCCCGGACCCCCTCAGACTCTATGTGGGCAAGTTTGTATATAAATCGTGATCTTAGTTTATTTATGTCTTTATCTGACTGTATTGTGTACTATGTAATCCCATTTTTCTATCGCACCGGAATGAATATACCTTCAAGAAATCCAGAGTCATAAACATCATTTTGAACATATAGTCAAGCCAACCGAATTGTTCACTCCGAAAAAAATCGGGTCGATGGCTGAACATTTCGGACTGCAAACCGCCATATACATAAATGCACCAAAAGTACAGAAACTCTATAATTGGTACAAGCGCTGAATAAAAAACATGTTTTAAATTAGGTGCCCTACTAATCAAATTCCTTTGGGTATTTGTGACGAAATAGTTTGCAACTTTCATAAGAAAATGGTAAATTCGTTCAACATGCCGGGTAACAAAAAAAAATCATGAAATTTTAATATTTACAGTCGCTGTGTGAGAACCTGTTGGAATGTGCCATGCACGCAGAAGCCACAGATTGTACCTCGTCTATTATACTATTACCACCAACTACTGCGTTTTTACCAGCAGTTGTGGTGTATACTGGCTGGATAGGCTCCTCTGTATAGAACGAGGCCTATGAAATTGAAGGATTTCAAACATATACGAATAGCCTTGCTATCTATTATATCTAAATTTCAGTCCTCATTACCTGAATCGTCACATATACATGTCCAAGACTTGAAGTGT